AAGCCCTTACCAGGCTTCTCTGCATCCTTATGTCAGGAGTGACAGAGGTCATAAACTATGGTCTCAGGATAAAAAAAGTATAAGACAGTTGAATTTAGATCATGCTAGGTGCTACACAGGGTGGAATGTAGAATATAAAGGTAGCGATGCTTTACAAAGATCTAAAAATCTATTTCAACCTCCAAAAACTAGAATTCCCAAGTTTATGTCCTGTCCCACCAACTCAGTAGTATGCAGAGTTTTGGTTAGGTGATTTCTAGTACTAGATTTTTTTTTTTTTTTTTTTTTTTGGTACCGGAGATCAAACTCACAACCTCACGCTTGCCAGGCAGATGTAGATTTTTGAATATTGGCCAGTATCTCAGAAACATCTAGAAAGAGATTCTTCCACTGTATCCTTAACCAATAAAGTTTCACATTAACAGACTTCAATACTTAAAAAAGCTGGCCAAACACAAAAGTTCACCAGGCATGATGCTGTCGATAAACCCAGGACTCTGGGAAACTGAGGCAGGAGGATTCCAAGTTCCAGGAAAGACTGGGGAAGCTGTGTCAAAAAAAAAAAAAAGGTCCAGAGATATAGCTCAGCATGAAGGCCCTAGGGTCAATCTCTAGTACAAAAAACAAAACAAAACACATCAAGTTTGCTTTTCCATTAAACTCAGTTATGGAATATAACTACTTTTTACTTTATCACCAAAAGTGCAAGCAATTACTATTGCTATTATTTTTTAAAATTCCAGTTGAGCATGATGGCACACACCTATAATGCCAGCGCTGAGGAGGCTGAAGCAGGAGGACCAGCAGGATCACTGCAAGTTTGAGGCCAGTCTGGGCTACAAAGTGAGTGCAAGGCCACTCTGAAACATATAGTGAAACCCTGCCTCAAAAAAACAGCAAAAAATAAATATCCCATTCTCTCACCCCAGTTATCCCACATAAATACATAAATAGTGATAACTCTCTAAGAAGACAGGAAGCCAACTGGACAGTAAGGTATTCACCATTTATGAGGGTTTTTGTTTTGTTTTTTATTTTAGGGGGTTTTCTTTTTGAGACAAGGTCTCGCTATGCAGTTCAGGCTGGCCTTGAGCTCACTCTGTAGCCCAGGCTGGTCTCAAACTCTCAAGGATCCTCCTGACTCAGCCTCCTACTGCAAGGATTACAGGTGTGTACTACTACGCCCAGCTTTAACAAAGATATTTGAGTATTCAACTCTAGAGCCAAATAATCACATAAAAATACTAAAAATCAGCTTGCAGGTTTGATTTGGAGTTTTATGGCAAGATGCTGCAAAATAGGAAAGAGCCAAAACCCATGGTGTAACCAAACTGTGACCTTGCATAAAACATAAATTAGATGATTTACAAGATTACTCATTCTTTTTTTTTTTTTTCTTTTGGTACCGGAGATCGAACTTACAACCTCGTGCTTCCCAGACAGGCGCTTATGCTGCTGAGTTAAATCCCTGGCCCCAAGATCACTCATGTTTTCACTTAGGAAAACTTTGCTGTGCCCAACCTCAACTCAGGCCACACAGTCAATAAAACTGTCCCATTGCCACCCTCACTGAACCTGAAGCAGAGACAGAAGAAGCCCCAGACAACACTGTGGAGCTGGGGAGGGCCCGGGCAGCCAAAGGAGGCCTGCTTGCTCCAGACTCCAGGAAAGACCGCCCGAAGGAAGCAGCTGGCCGGAAAGGAGTGCACTGTGGAGTGGAACCGGAAGGTGGGCGACAGCTCTAGCAGACAGCCCTGGACGCAGGGCTGGGCAGCAAATGGCTGTCTTCTGTAGTGACAAAGACTGAACTATCGAGCAGCTACATCTCCCATGGCTATGGATCCAGCCTGCTCCTTCCTGTGTGCAATACAGATGGCTTATCCACTACCTTCCAGTTACTGAGCAGGGATTTTTTTATACACTCCAATTTCACTTTTGCTAATCTTTTCTACCAATTTACAAAGCAAAGAATAAAAAGTAAAACTCAATAATCCACTGTGCAAAAAAACTACAACTAGAATGTCTCTCCAGACACAGTAAAACTAATAAAGTATTTCAGAAAAAGTTGCTTTAATAGTACTAGAGATTAAATGTTGATTAAAAATCTCCCCTTGAAGTTTTTCCTATTTTTAATTCTATTCCTAAAACCTATAATCATTAATTACACTATTTCCATGGTCATTAGGCAGACACAAATGTTGCAGCAGACAAGAAAATTAGTTACTAAAAGACATCAATTAGAAAGCATCCACACAAAATGACAATTTAACACTTTTCCTTCACCTGTGAAAACTGGTTTGCTATGTGCCTATCTGAAATTAAGTACTCTCCAAAGCAAGAAAGTTTGAAAGTGTAATGAATGACAACTATTTAATGTTTCGGAGACAAATACAGTACTTTGTGGAAAACAGCACGGCTCAACAGTGCTCACCATGAACTAGTCTTATAGGTTCTTTCTAAACCAACTCACTTAATCTTCACAAAACTCAGGGAGGCAGAGAGCACTACAATCTTCATTTTACCGATGAGGAAACTAAGACATAGAAAAATAAAGTCAGATAACACTGCTAAGAAAAGACAAAGTTTGAGGTTCAAATCCCAGCCTTCCCCAAATGTTAGTAACTGAAACCTACTGCCGTATAATAAAATCCCTAGTCATACATAATCCCTTGAGCAATTAATTCTCAGGACTAACAGTATTCTCTGAACAGCTGGAGATTCAACATTTCATCTGACCCAAAATCTGAAATTGCATAGGCCATCTAATAGCTCTTAACCACAAGTGGCTATAAGAACTTAAAACGTGGTTAACACAAATTAAGATGGACACATGGGCACACTATGTTCTGAAATCTGACTTGATACAAGAAAAAAAATTTAAAGTGTGTCACCAATAGGTGTTTTAATATTAACTATATGGTGCTGGGAATGGTGGCTCATGCCTAACATCCCAGCACTCGGTAAGCTGAGACAAGGGAACTGTTGCAAGTTCAAGACCAGCCTGGGCTACAAAGTGAGCTCAAGGCCAGCCTGAACTGCATAGCAAGACCCTGTCTCAAAAAGACCAAAAAAAAAAAAAAAAGAAAGAAAGAAAGAGTTTGGCTATAATGGGTTAAATGGAATACAGTATTATTAAAACTAACTTCACCTATATCTTTTTATTTATGTTTCCATGCAGCCACTAGAAATTTTAAAATTGCGTTTGTGGCTCCAGTTATGTTTCTACTGAATACAGTTCATCCAAAGTACAGCCAGCAGTTTCCTATACCCCAATGTTATTTACTCCTTTCCGATGACTCAGGCATCACAAGGAACTTTAACTACACCCTGCTGTGATGTGTAATTGTGATGCCTGGCATGCAGACAGGTCAGGCTACCCTCCTCCCCTAAGACCTCAGACCATAGTCCCTGGACATGCTTGACATCTCCGTGTCACTTCACCCTGAGACCAAGCTCTCCAGCTCTCTCTATGCCCACAGCCAGATCCCTCTAGCATCCATACACGTAGCACCCAATGCCAGAAAGTCAGGGAAATCAGAACTGTGTGACACAGAAAAACAGGTTCTGGAAAGCCTTCAGAAAGCCTCCTATGAACACAGCATTCTGGGCTGGGGAAACAGCTCAGCCGCACAGTGCCTGCCTGGCAAATGTGAGGTCATGAGTTCGATTCCTGCTACAAAAAAGCACTGGATTCTGCTTCAATGTGCAGGTCCTTCTGTGTGTGCATGGTAGGGAGGGGCTCACACTGAACCTCCAGCTCCTTTTTAAATTTCGATACTGGGTCTCACCTAATTGCCCAGGCTAGGCTTTTTTTTTTTTTTTTTTTTTTTTGTCTTTTTGAGACAGGGTCTCTATGCAGTTCAGGCTGGCCTTGAGCTCACTTTGTAGCCCAGGCTGGTCTTGAACTCAAAACAATCCTCCTGCCTCAGCCTCCCAAGTGCTGGGATTACAGGTGTGAGCCACCACGCCCGGTTACCCAGGCTGGGCTTAAATTTGCCATTCTCCTGCCTCTGCTTCCCCAGTAGCTGAGATTCTGAGTGTGTGCTACAACTCAGGTTCCCTGATAATTACTGTGACTGATCACAGCCGATTCTCTTCAGCGACTCTCTCCAGGTCCAGACACAAGGGCCAACTTTAACTAGGGCCCCCTACAACTTAGCCTGAAGTTCCTCCACAGCAGTTTCAGTCTGAAAAGAGGAAAACCTCTGCGGATGGAGGGCACTAAGACTGCTGAACGATTATGTAGTCATCACCACTGAACCGTATGCTTAAGTGGTGAGTTTTATGCCACATGTGTGTTACTACAAACACTTTCTTCCCCCCTGCTTCACCATTTCCTATTTTCTTCAAAAATGAGTTCAGACCATCCATGGCCCTTGAGTTCTGGCCTCCCTCTGCCTCCTTGACCTTGTGCTCCAGGTGCCTTTTCTCAACGGCCTGTGCCAACCAAGACCTCAGAGTTTGGTCCATGTCCTCCTCAGTATCACCTCCACTGACTCTTCCCTGACCTCCCAAGGATGCCAAGACCCAGCTTGCAATGGTGCCCTAACTCTAATCTCCTGAATGACACTGTTTGTTTACATCTTACACTGTGAGCTCATCAAGCACAGGGCAGACTGAGCATCTAATTAATGTACCCTAAATGCTTGTTGAGCTCATTCGGTCAATAAGTACAGTACTTACTGAACGCCTACCAGGCCTGCAATGTCCTCAGCACTAAGGCATTGCAACGGGGAAAGAAAACAAAACCCTGCTTTCATGGAGCGTCCACAGACACTGCACTACAAAGACAAACAAAGCTTGGCAAGAGAGGGACATTTCCTACAAGCTGACCTGTGAGGTGCCACCTAGGTCCTGGCAGTTCTGACCGAACACTGGGGAAATGCAGGATATTCTGGCTCAAGCTGAGTCTGAACAGTAAGGACTGGACCAAGAAAGTAAACTCTTATCTAAGAAAAGCAAACCATTCCCTCACCCCATCAATGTGACCTTGTAATTACCTCCTTGCATTCTCAATACGAAGGACACTCGTGCTCCGGCACAGTGAAGACCTCTCCTAATGGAATCCTCTCTGCCACGAAGCCTTATGTTTGCTGGAGAAAACATGAGAATGGCCAATATTTACTGAGTGCCTGTTACACATTTGACATGCGGCATACTAAGCCCTGGGCAAACCTCCAGAAAACCTTAGGAAACACACAAACCCATTTTCAAAAAGAGTAAGGCTGGAACCAGAAACCTACCCTACTCCAGAGGCTGTGCTGATAACCCTTACGCTGTGTGGTTTCACAGCTGTACTTCCTATCACAAGACACTCTTTGTTCCTACTACTGTTATTTTCCCTATTAATGTTTATCAAAATGCCAACATCATTTTTCATAAAGATTAACATTTTGATTCTTACATTTCTGTAGAAATATAAGAGATCCAGAATAGTCTAAACGGGGCTGGGGATTTAGCTCAGCAGCATAAGCGCCTGCCTTGCAAGCAGGCAGTCGTGAGTTTGATCCCCGGTACCGATAAAAAAAGAAAAAAAAAAAAAAACCATACAGAATAGTCTAAACAACTTTGATAAAGGAACACCATTAGAGCTCCATCAATTTTCTATTAATTTTAAAGTTACAAATTTACTTCACTTTCTTCATCTTAGCTATACCCTGCTTCATATTTCTAGTTTTGCAACAGAAATGTCTGTCTATACTTTTGTTCACTTTTGATTTTAACTACTGGTTGCTGCTACTATTTTCAAGGGTGCCATTAGATGGAAAAGTAAATATGCAACACAGCAAAAGCCAAACACCAGCTATCTGTGCAGACACAAATTACACCTCTGGAGAAATGCACACTGGAACTCTGCCAGGACAGTGCAGCCCTGCCTGGGAAGCCCGGCCAGTGCCCACAGGGGAGGCTGGCCAGGCACACTGGTAAGTGAGTAGAAGGTGACACGTGTGGTGCGCTGCACATTCCCAGGCCAAAACCTTGAATGCAAAAAACACATTAAAGCCAATTCATGTAAAGCAAAAGATTTTTACCTGACACATTTATTCTACCTTAGCATTTAAGAGTAGCCAGGCATGGTGGCACATGCCTATGATCCCACCACTTAGGAGGCCAAGGCAGTAGGTAGGATCACTAGAAGCTCAATGCCAGCCTAGGCTACATAGTGAGTTCAAGACCACCCTAAACTATATAGGAAGACCCTGCTTTAAAAAAAAAAAAAAGAAAGAAAGAAAAGAAATGAAAGAAAGTTTGAGTCTGCCTGGGCCTATCTCAAAGTATTTTTAAAAAATATTTTTCAAAAGAGATTGGGATGAAGCTCTGTGTGAAGAGGCCCTGGTCTCAAGCCTCAGTACTGAAAGAAAAGCAGATGCAATGCCTTTCTGGGTTCAGCCTGGGTCACAGTAAACTCATTCCCCTCCTCACAAGCCTTTAATCCTATTTGTTCTCCATCACTATCTTATGGCCCAACCACCAAAACAATGCACAGTCCCGACTCTAGCCCTGCACTTTGCTTCACTTCCTCCTCCTCCCTGTCCCTCTGCCGCACTCACGCTCTCACTCACGCTCCCCTTCAGACACACACACACACACACACACACACACACACACACACACGGCATGCACACGCCATCAGCTTGTGAACTGAACTTCTGTTTCAGGTCCTCAGGTCAAGCCTGCACTACTGGTCTCCTCGCTGGTCTTCCTGGGCTTGTTCTGTTTTGCTTTACTTTCTCATTTTGTCTTGTCTGGAGGTACTGGGGAAGGAACCAGGGGTACTAAGCTACCATATATCCTCAGCCCCTTCTAAAATTTTGACTCGGGGTCTTGCTACACTGCCCACGTAGTAGTCAATCTTATGATCTTCCTGCCTCAGCCTTCCTCAATACTGGGCTCTTCCTGTTGTTTAAATGCCTTTTTCTCCGTACACCCTCTATCTTCCCTTGGCTTCAGAAACATCTTTCCATCACACAGCTCTGACCACATCACTCCACTTTCCAAAGACACTGATGGTTTCTGGTCACCCAGAATCACACCAAACCCTGCAGTGGCACACAGACACACACATGCACGAGCACGCACACAGACCCCTTTGCAGTGGGACCCTGCACAACTCTGCAGGTCATTTATTCTTTCAACAATGCAATGCTTATCGCACCAAATATGTTCCAGTTATACTACCAGGTGGTAGCATAATGACAAGTATTTTTTAAACAGCTCCTGTTCTTCTGAAACTTACAGGACAGGACAAGAAATAGAAATCAGTCACGCATGCAAACATTTAAGACAAATCTGAAATCCAAAATGTTCTGAGTGCTAACATGACAACACAAGTGAACATTTTATACCCCTCATATATGATGGTCACAGTCAAAATGCAAGTACACTCGCCAGGCATGATGCTGCAGGCCTGGAATCCCAGCACTAAGGAGGCTGATGCAGGAGGACTGCAGGTTCAAGCCCAGCTTGGGTAACTTATGAGACTCTGTCTCAAGATAAAATAAGGGCTCGGAATGTTGCTCCGTGTTAGACCAACCCTGGGTTCTATTCTCAGTATAGAAAAAGATAACAGCATTACATAAAATTACCTTCAGGCTATAAAATGCAGATGAAATACCAATGAATTGTGTAAGACTGATCAGTTGATCGATGGGTCAATCTATCTCTACATCTATCTGCATCCCCTCTCCTTCATGTGTATGTATATATTCCAAAATCTGGAAAAAGCCTAAAACCTGAAATCTGAAAACTTCTGGTTGCAAGGATTTTAGATGAAAGATACTCAATCTGCACTGCAAAGAAAGATAAAATACTCTCAATCTTGTATACAAACTAATAGCCACTGAACTGTACGCATTAAAAGGTGAATTCTATAGCATGTAAACTGCATTCCCTCCTACCTCCAAATACAGATATAGCAGGCTGAGTACCAATATTGGTAGATCTGATCGAGGCAGGGAGGCTGAAAGATTTCCAGAGAAAACAATGCTTATTAAAGGGAATGCCTGCGAGCACTCAGTCCACACTAAGCCCCACTCACTAGAACAATCCAGGTGATCCCCACAACCCCCAGTAGGTTACTATTACTGCCCTCAACTTACAGACAAGGAACTGAAGGGTCAAGTGACTTTACCCAATGTTAGAGAACCAATAGCTGGTAATGCTAAGGTTCACACTCCTACCTGCTGCAGTGAAGTTACCTAAGCTCTGCCTGGTACTAGAACAATGTAAGATGCAATACTTAGAGCAGTGCATTTCACTTGTTGTAGCAGAAGCTCCCTCCTCTCTCTCTCCCTTAGTAATTCTGGGACTTGAACCCAGGGCCCTCACACTGAGCTACAGTCCTTTGTTTGCTTGCTTGCTTTTTTGTTTGTTTGTTTGCTTGTTTTGAAATAGGGTAAATTGCTTTGCTGCCCAACTGGGCTTGAACTTGCCATCCTCCTGCCTCAGCCTCCCGGAATGCTGGAATTACAGGCAGGAGCCATCTGGCCCTTTTTGTCTTTACAATAGTCTTTAAGGCTTTACAAAATAGGGTCCTTTGGCTCCACCTGACCTCCCCCACTTGCTTTCTAAGTTCATTTCTTCCAGCCACCCAGGCCTCTCTTTTGTTTCCCCCACCTACAAGGCATCCTCTGATCACAGGGCCTTTCCATTTGCTTGAGTTATGACCACAATCATGACATACGGGATAAATCATGATTCTACCAAAACTTCAGTTACCATTTTCTCTAATCACACCAACAATCCACTAATAAGACCCTGCACAAAACTGTAGGGCCATTTAAAATGTCACTTGTTAATTTAGTGAAAACTGCCTCATTTCTCTAGCTCTTCTAGTGCGCTGCATGATGTAACCATGCAAAGATTCTTCTTTTGCAAAATCCAGTAACAGCAGCTTTTGCTTACCAATTAGTAAGAACAACAATCATAAAGCTCTCTTTGCAGTGAAATAAAGCAAAGCCACCAAGCCAAGAAAGTGTCACAATAGATTACCACCAGCCCTCAGGTTCCCCCCAGAATTACAGCTTATGAAATAACCATAGCAACAGCCCCCCCACCTCCCCGCACCCAAATCCGATCACACTTTTGCTGAGAAATTATTCTCCATCTGGGCAAACACACGCAAAGATGCATGTTGACAACAGTTATGTAACGCAACACAACAACTTGGTGGTATTTTAAGTTCCTAGCAATGTAAGAGTCTTAAATGACGTTTGGCTTATAGACTTCCACAGACCATTCAAAGTAGAACTGGGAGAAGGGAAAGAAGATACAGTTAAATGTGGATACAAAGTGGAGAATACAACTATCTTGGGATTCTTTTAAATACTAAGCTTCATTTGACACAAATGAAGCAAAAGCACAAAGGGAAAACATTTAATCCAACGCAATTTACCACCATCTCTAGCAACATATTTGGTTACAAATTTTCCCATAAGCACAAAGGCTAGGAGCAAAGGCATCAGACTTTCCAAACCTGTTTCACTGCTTATTACCTGGGGGATCCTGGCCAAGTTTGTTTGTTTGTTCTTCTTTGAGACAGGGTCTCACTATGCAGTTAGCTTGGTTTCAAACTCACTGCACAGCCTAAGCCAATGGTGGCAAACCTATGGCATGGCAGGCATGCAGAGCCCTATCTGTCAGTACTCAGCACTCAAGCCAAGTCACCCCAGCAACCAAGTATCAGATAAGTTTTTTTATAAACTAAAACCTCAGTATTCAGGTTTAATTATAGCCTTGGCACTTTGTATTAAAGATGTGGGTTTCAGTTTGGCACTCTAAAAAATTCACCATCACTGGCCTAGACCTTAAACTTAAAATCCTCATGCCTCAGTCTCCCAGGTGCTGGGATTACAACTGTGATCACCACTCCAAATTACTGGCCAAGATTTTGGGGCTTTGTTTTATCTCAAGCTGGGCTGGGGACTTAGCTCAGCGGCATAACCGTCTGCCTTGCAAGTGTGTGGTTGTGAGTTCGATCCCTGGTACCAATAAAAAAGACAAAAACAAAAAAAAAGAAAATGTTTTATCTCAAGCCTCAGTTCACCATACAAACAGAAACATCACACTGAGCCCACTACACAGTGCCTCAGCACATAAAGACAGATGCCCTTTGCTGAGTTCTCCCTGTTCCTGAACTGAATTGTAGAAAGTTAAGAGTCATGTAATCTTACCAAGAGCTGCCCATCTGGACCATTCAAATGCAGTGCTAGAGGCCTGCACATGCTAGGCTACTGCCCTACCACTAAGCTACATCAGTAAAACTGTGGTAAGAGCTTTTAGACACACATCTTTGTATCATTGGGGCTTTGCTCTTCACTTTAGAAATTTTTGGGTAGCCTGAGGCTGCAAGTAGATTATCTTAAATAGTATTGTAATTCTTAAAGAAACTAGAATTTTCTTTAAAAAATCTTGTCCAGATTTTGGTATTCTGCTTGTTAATTGCATTCTAGAATCAAGCTTATCAAAGACTGAATCATTAATTAACAGTAACAGCAAACACTGACTGAGATCTTACCACCTGCCTTATCATACAAAGATCTTGGACACTAAATTTGCCAAAAGCCTGCCAAGATGAGGTAGGTAGCTCAAACCTTTGATGTGGCCAACATGAATGCTGGAGACTCCACAAAAGCACTGCTGTAATCAACTACCAGACCAACACAAACACTCAGAAACCACCAGACCAAACTCACCTTATAAATGAGAGACTGAGGCCAAAAGAGATTCTGTCTCAAGGTCGCCCTGTTACTACCAAGACAGGGCTGGAACCAAAGTCTCTCCATTTCCCATGCAGTGTTTTGTCATCTATACAACAGCTGACGGTTTTAAAAAGAGAAAGACGTGTATTGTGTAACCCAAAAAGTTTTTCACACAGTTGGGAAGAAAACCCATCCCCTTAAATACTTGAAGTGAATGTTTGTTAACATAATCCACACCCTGCAGTGAAGATGATGCAGGGCTCCTAGCCAGATGCAAGGCACCAGCCACAGGCACAGCAGTGCCTAGAGGAGTGAAGGGGTTCACTGCCACCATAATCCCCAGAGCACCTTTCTGGCCAGCAAAGCACACTTCAGAGCCACACTGCCGGCTTCAGGTGGCCTGGTTATGAAAAGCAGAAAGGGATCAGCAGCCCCAAGCCCCTGGCATCTCTCACCTCTTCAGTGTCACTAACTTCTAACTCTCCTTTGAAAAGCATGATGCTGCATCTAGGCAGTTTTTACCTTTCTATATTCTGAGTCAGGGTTTCTATTTTTACTAAAATTCTCATTTTTATGAAAGTTGGCTGCACATGGCCTAATGCCCTCAGGTCTAGGTCAGGAAGTGACTGGACAGAGTTCTTTAAATGTTCCTTTTCCCCTTGGGTAAACATTTTTAAAAGGTTATCCAGCCTGGGATTTAGCTCAGTAGCGTAAGTGCCTGCATAGCAAGCACGAGGTCATGAGTTTGATCCCAGGGACAAAAAAAAAAAGTCATCCACTCCAGGCCTGTAATCCCAGCACTCAGGAGGCTGAGACACTGCAAGTTCAAGGCCAACCTGGGCTGCACAGTTGAGTGCAACCCAGCCTGAGCTCAGGATGATACCCTGTCCCAAAAAAACAAATCAAAACAAAAGGTAATCTATAATTTAAAAGTAGGAAGTTGTGAAACTTTGTATGACAAGCAAACAAGACTTTTACAAAGCCTTCATTGTGTTGGATGAGAGCTTGGCCAGATACTCTCATTTATTATTCCCAAAGCTGAGAATGGGTACCACACTAAACCACTGACCAATTCAAAGTTACCACAGACACCAACTGCCAATTTTCAAATAAATAAAATATATGCTAAAACTGTGTTGTCCAATATGGTAGCCACTCTTCATAGGGAGCTATTGAGCACCTGAAATGTGCAGTATGATGTGTGATGTAAAGATAAAACTTCACTAGAGGGCCAGGGATTTAGCTCAGCGGCGTAAGTGCCTGCCTAGCAAGCACAAAGTTGTGAGTTCAATTCCCCCGTACCAAAAACAAAAAAAAACAAACTTCACTAGATTCACACCAGATTCAAAGAGTTGGTTTAAAAAAAAAAAAAAAAGATGAAACATCACATGAGCAATTTTTTCACTTTGACGGCACATTAAATTAATACTATGGATATACTAAGCTAACTTAAGATATACAAATATTTTAATTTTTAAAATTTTAATGGAGTTATTAGAAAATTTTAAACTGCATTTGAAATTTGCATTACATTTTGATTTAACTGTGCTGCTTTATACAAATGACAAAATATGATCATAATAAATCAAAGGAGCATTGGCTCCTTTGATGATTTATTATGATGACAAACATCAGATATAAAATAAAGCAAGAAAAATCTTATTTATACTTTGGATACATATTTTAAAATGTTATCAAATAAGAATGGAATGTTCAGCTGGGCGTGATGGCTCACACCTGTAATCCCAGCACTTGGGAGGCTGAGGCAGGAAGATCGTTGCAAATTCAAGACCAGCCTAGGCTATAAAGTGAGCTCAAGGCCAGCCTGAACTGCACAGCGAGACCCTCTCAAAAAAGCCAAAAAAAAAGAATGGACTGTTCTTAAAACTCCTATTAGTTTACAACCACCTCCAACTGTGTTAATAGAGGAAGGACTCAATTCTACAAGTAGTATTTTGGGGATCAAGAAGGAAATACAAAATAAAAACCATTAAAGAGGGAGTAAGATAACTACCATCTGTATCTAAAAGGCATTTTAAAATTAAAGCAGTGTTTTAAACAGTTAATAGACCCTTTTAAAAAATACTTTATTATACAGTGATGCATGCCTGTGATCCCAGCACTCAGGTTGCTAAGGTAGGAAAATCGCTTCGAGGCCAGCTTGGGCTACATAGCAAGACCCTGTCTCAAAAAAAACAAAACTTTATTATTTTTATTAAATTGATGACATCTTCCAATTATGAGCTAATCAAACTTAGTAAACTTCTTAACCTGTTAAAGGTAGACTGGAAACTCTAATTCCAGGGAACAGAAGTGAAATTCCTGAAATTTCTATATGGAAACATATGCCACTTCCCAGCAAGATGTTTATAATTAAGCACTGTACAAAGATGAAATCAGCCAACATTTTGATACATATCCTTCAATATTACATTGATTATTACAAAATTTAAATAAAACTGTTTTCAAAATTCCAAACCACCACAATACCTTTTCAAAATCTAACCAGCAAAATTAGGGAGAGAACGCTCCCAAAGCTCCACCTAGTAAAGTTGAAATTAGAAATGGAAAATGCAAAGCCGTATCAGCAGTAAGAAATATTTGCACGGCACTGTTGGACAAACACCTTTGGATACATCACGCCATTTGATCTTCGTCTCTAATTCTGTATGTTTTTATCTATACTTTAGAGGTAATCCCAGTGTCAGAGTCCTTGACTTGTTCAAGGTCACAAAGCTAAAAATTACACAGTGGAACCAGTATTTAACCCCAAATTCGCTATGACAAGACGACCACTCCATTAAAACCACGTTTAGATTCCAACACGCTTAATGCTAAAGAATGAGCTAAGGATCAACTAGGTCAAATCTTAAGACTCCACAAACACCAGACACTAGAATCGGTTGAAAAGGGGAGAAGAGATTACCAAGAGACAGGAAACGGCTCGAACGATCAGGGTGAAAGATACAGACTCTAAATGTCCTTGGGTGCAGCACAACAGAATAGCAGGATTCAAACAGAAAATGCAGAGAAACTGTACTTCCCTCAGAAATGATTTTTCAATGTAGTAGCTGTAGGCTAAAAATCAAAATGATTATGCAGTCACTTTACCTATAAATGTCTGAGAATTTTACCTAATTATAGACATTTACAAAACGTATACATCCAAATATGTACAACCAGCCCATTTTTTCATAAGAATTGGCATTTTACTGCCAAAAAGCAAATTTGAAAAATGAGACTTCAACAACCTAATGTAGTTTAGAGGGAAAGAAAAAGGCCAGGTAAAAGGATGAAACGCCAACGCCGGGGTCTCCAGCAGAAAGCATCTTCTGGGCAGCACAATGGCATCAGCAGGGCTCCGGGGCCAGCTCGACCCTCGGGACGCCCGGTCGGCGACCCCGCGGGGGTCCGATGCGTCCCGGAGCGGCGTCCAGCACGCTCTGCTCCTGCCGGCCGCGGCCGCTGCTGCGTGGGAGCGCCACCCCGGGCCGCACCGCAGGCTCCACGGGCCCGCGAGGTCTAGGCGGGGTCGCAACGCGCCGGGTGACCGCCGCCTGCAGAGCCGTCTCCGCTGCCGCCGGAACCCGGACCCCCGCCCCGGAACCCCGAGCGAGCGGAACCCCGACCCCCGGCCCGCGCTGTCAGCCGGCGCCGCCCCACCTGCCGCCCGCCCGCCGGCCTCACACGGGGCGAGGGCGCGGCCGCGGAGGCAGCGCCAGGCCGCCCGCACCCACCGGCATCATCGCTGCGCGGTCCGCGGCGCCCCGGCCGCCTGACAGGACGCTGGCGCCGCTGCTCTGCCGCCTTCACAGGCCGCGCGCCCGCCGCCGCGCCCTCAGGCACGGCCGCAGCCAGGCGGCGGCTGCGGCAGGCTGCGGAGCCCTCGCCCGCCCTGTGGCGCCGCCCGCGTGCTGCGTCGCCGTGCCGGGACCAGACACCGCCGCCTCCTCCGCCGAAGCCGGCCGCCTCCCGCCGGCCGCCCGGCTCGCCCGTCGGCCGCGCAGGCTCCGCCCCTCGCGTCGCCCCCGCGGGGCCGGCGCCGCCTCTTATTGGTCCCACCGCGGTGGGGGCGGGCAGGGTGGGGCGGGGCGGCCAGGTGCGAGCGCGCCCGTGCGCGTCCGCGCTCCCGGCGGCGGGGAGGCGCGCGCTGCGGACTCCCAGCCGGCCCCACCCCCGCGAGGCTGCAGGGGGAGCCGAGCGGCGCAGGGACGCGGACCCGGAGCTCCGGGGTCTGGGATTAGGGAACGAGGGACCCAGGGTGCGGTCTGCCTGGGTCCCCGCGCCCGCGGCCTAACTTGGAGCTCCTCCGCCTGAGGCAGTGCCCACCTGTGCCACCATCCTCCGAGGGCCGGCCGGGTCGCCCCAGGACCCGGAGAGCCCGCCTGCCGGGTCCGGGTCTGTCCTCGCCGCTCCGTCCCGCGGGTCCTTCCGTCCCCCGGTCTGCGCGCGCGAGTGACAGAGGCCCGGCCATGGCCCGGCGCAGCCCCGTAGCAAGGGCCGCCGGGTGGACAGGCACCCTGCGTGCGCTTGCCACAGGCGCCGGGCGCCCCAGTCCCGACAGGAGACCCCGAGGGGGCGGTAGGTTCCCCGCCACTGCATCGGGATGCCGAGGCTCGGGTGCCAGCGGCACAGCACCGTGGGGCGCCCAGCACCTAGTAGAGGAGAGGAGGCCAGCAGGTGCTGGCCAGAAGCCGGCGGGGCTGGTCTGGTCCTCTGCGAAGCTGGAGGCTGCTGCTAGTAGCAGAGGGAGGGTGGGAGGCCAAGGAGTCCCCGCCAGGCCCCCAACCTGAGGAGCCCCACCTGTGCATCCCAGGCCGTGGGCTTAGTGGCTGGCAGTGTGGACTTTCCAGTTGGACAGACTCGGTTCAGCACCACCTCCGCCGCACCCGGCTAGGTGCAACTGTGACCTGGGCACTGGTCTCTGGAATGGAGATTGTGGAGGTGACATGCCTGTGTCTCAGGTTGCTCAGGTACCTCCAGCACTGGGTAGCCACAAATTGTGTCTGCAGCTATGTCGCCATTAGGATGCAAGCTCAGCCTGCAGGAGTGCCTGGGTTGTTTTCTGTTTCAACTCCACACTGGGATGCGCAGATGACTTGAGATACATCTCTGAGAGCAGGGTTTGGAGCGATCTGGATAAAGTGTGATCCTAAACGGGCATCAGAGCCCTGGGCTCCAATTCCATCCCTGCTTCTGGCTTTCTGTGGGGCCTTAGACAACCTGCACTGCCTCTTGGGCCTCAATTTTCCCATCTGTTACATAGGTGGGGCTGGATTCTCTGATCTTGGAGAGCTTTCCAGCTCTGACACCCTGAGCAGTTCCAAAGCCGCAGGTGCTGGCACCCAGCTGACAAAGGACAGACCTTGCCAGACTGCATGGAGGGAGTACCTGGAGGAGGTGACACCCTGTGGAGATGGTCCAGGTAAGCCCACTCTCCTGAGAAGGAAAGTCTTGGCCACAAGGCCTCACTCTTGCCTATAGGTCCTGTGGGCCCACAGTGACAGCTGCCTGGCCTCACACATATTCAGGCTCCTATATCCTCCAGGCAGGTGTCTGCTTGGGGCCAGAATGGCCACAGGCTTCTGCCCAGCTGGTCCTCAGACTCCTCTCTGTCCTGCCAGCTACACCAGGCATCAGGGCCTGTCCCCTTGCAGTTCATTCAAGGATGTTCACTTGGGCCTCTGCTCTCACCCACTCTACATGGCAACCTCTACACCCACATGCCTGCCCTCAGTCTTCACGCACACGTACAGGCACACATAAGCACCTGCTAAAGCCCTCAGCATCTCCAAATCACCCACCAGAGTCCCTATGGAAATTGCTATGAATGGTAGCACGCAGGCAATAAGGCTGTGGAAGATGTCTGTGTTTCCAGAGATACAGCCTGGCCTGTGTGAGGAGTCTGGGATTTGCTTGCAACCATTCAGCAGAGGAAAGAAGCAAGGCAGTCAGAAGACTTGGGTTCTAAGTGGTACGTTCTCCATTGTTGAATCTGGATGACAGATACATAGGGTTGCAGGCACTTTCTAATCTACTTTGTGTGTTTCAAACATTGTATTAAAAATGATTGCTCTTTAAAGCAAATATAAAAGCCCCAGGGCAAAAAAAAAAAAATGAGTACAGTACATGCTCACACTAGAAGGGTCCACAGAAACCTAGTGAAGTAACAAATAACCAGGCCTGGTGCCTCGTGCCTGTAACCCAAGCACTCCAGGAAGCTGAGGCAGGAGGATTACAAGTTTAAACCTGGCCAATTTAATGAGACGTTGCTTCAAACAATTAAAAAGGGCTCTGGGCGTGGTGGTGCATGCCTGTAATTCCAGCATTGGGGAGACTCAGGCAGGAGGGTCACCAAGAGTTTGAAGTCAGCCTGGGCTACAAAGTAAGTTCAAGGCCAGCTTGAACTGCATAGTGAACCCCTGTCTCAAAAAGACACACACACACACACACACACACACACACACACAAAAGTGAAAAGGGTTCAAATTGGACGAGTAACTAGGGAGGGGGATGGGAAAAAAGGAAAAAAAGAAAAAAATAGAAGGAAAAAACGGATATGAAGCTTTTGTAAATCAGGAGGTGATAAGGGGGTGGAGAGGGAAATGGGAAAAAAGAATCAAGTTATATCATGTACAGGTACAAATTCCACATGATGAATGTTATCATTTTGTGTATCTAAAATACAATAAAATTAATTTTTAAAAATTAAAAAGGCCTGGAATATAGCACAGTGCTCAAGTCCAATCCCCAATACAGCAAAAAGAAACAGATAATGAGTGTAGGTGGGAATGGGGACTAGATGGATAAGGGACAGAAATCAGAGTGAAACTGTGTGTCGTGGCCTACACTTATAATCCTAGGTACTTGGGAGGCTGAGGCAGAAAGATCAAAAGCTTAAGGTTAGCCCAGGCCATTTAGTAAAACCTTATCCCAAAATTTGAAAAATAAACAAAAGGTGGAGGGTATAGGTCAATATATACTAGCCTAGGAAAGAAATAAAAAATAAATTAGGGTGAGACTTTTCACTATTACTTTTTATTACTTGTCTTTTTATGTGGATCTTACTATGTTCCCCAGGCTAGCCTTGAACTTGTGATCCTCTTGACCTTGTCACAAAAAAAAAAAAAAGGAAAAAAACTTTTATTTTTAGAATAGTTTTAGACTTATACTGTAATTGTGTGGATAATAGGAAGAATTCCTATATACAAAAGCTCTTTGGCTTTTGCTATGGGTTGTTTCCCAGGAAGCTACTGTTACATGGATAAAATATTACATACCCCTGACTGCCAAAACACTTCTCCACAGCCCCCACAGTGGGGAGTGCCAGCTTAGCCTGGTTGATTGGAAGCTGTGGCTCTCTGCTGCCCAGCCTCACAACAGAGTCCTGGGCCAAGTACCAGAAGTCTAGCCAGGGCATGGTGGCACACACCTGTAATCCAAGCACTCAGGAGACTGAGGCAGGAGGATTGATGAAAGTTTGAGGCAACCTAGGCTACATAGTGAGTTCAAGGCCAGCCTGGACTGCATAGTGAGACCCTGTCTACCTCCCCAAAAAAAGTCCAAGAAAAGATCAAAATTCAAAACTTGAAATATGGTTTCTACAGAATGGGTATCTCTTTTGCACCCTTATAAAGTTGCAAAACCTTCAGCAGGGCCTGGTAAATTTGGGGCGCTCTGTATACATCTTACATCAACATAGCACATCTGTCAGAACTAATGACCAACATCCAAACATGGCTGTTAACTGATGTCCACGCTTCCTACGTCAGCCTCGGTCGGTCTCCTAGCTGCCTGGCTCTCTCCCACCTTCAGTTGCAGCCTCTCCGCTTCCTCTCAGCCCGGAAGTTCTCAGATCTCATCTCCAAAGCCTTGAGAAGCACCACTCAGTTACATGGTAGAGTATCCCTCCACCGAGGTTTACATGCTGTTATATCCTGACAGGTGATTACTGCCACGGTCACAGCACGGCAAGGCCCGAGCTGTCCACGTGGGCATCATGGGGATGCTGACCTTTATCATTTGGCCACTATTGCACTCTATGGGTGTTTCTGAGACAGAATCTCGCTATGTAGTCCAGGCTGGCCTTGAGCTGTCTACATAGCAAAACTCCCAGCAGTCCTGCTTCAGTCTCGTTCTGATGTCACGAGTGTGTATCACACACCCAGCTGGTTTTTACTGTGAATATATTACTGCATTAAAATAAAATAGGAAACATTGAACATCTGCATGAGTCTCCTAGGCCACCATGACAGAACCCGCAGACCAAGTGGCTTTTCTCCCCAGAGGCTGTCAGTCCTTGGCCCCATGCAGGCAGAGGGTGCCTAGAAGGCTGTCTCAGCTTAGTGATTAGCTTGTGGCCCCTTCCAGCTCTTCACAGTGATTCTCTGCGCACGCCCATCCTGCTGTGCTCTCTCAGAACCCAGGGCCTTCCTTTTTTTCATTTTTTTTTTCTTTTTTTGTGTTTTTCCTTTTTATCGGTACCAGGGATCGAACTCACAACTGCCTGCTTGCAAGGCAGGCGCTTATGCCACTGAGCTAAATCCCCAGCCCCTTTTCATTTTGTTTTGAGACAAGGTTTTGCTAAATCACCAACTTGCCCAGACTGAGCTTCAACTTGTGATCCTCTTGCCTCAGCCTCCCAAAAAGATCTCTTTTTTTTCCCATAGCACGGCAGTCACATGGAGTTGGGGCCCAGTGCAGGGCCTCCTGAAACCACAATGTCCTGCCTTAGAGCTGCATCTGCAGGTGCAGACACATGTTGGATGGACCGGGCTTCCGACTTCAGTACACAGGACAAGACCTTTCACAGTGTGGCCCCAACCTACCCCTTCAGGTTTATCTTCCCTGCTGCAGACAGCCTGCTTCTAGCCGAAGTCCCACAGCCCTGAACCCTCACTCTTCCCCCTCCAGTCTTTCGTTACCCACTGCCCAGTGCTGATAAAGCAAGCGCTCAGCTCTGTACCT